CTGCTGCTGCTGCTGCTGCTGCTGTTGCTGCTGCTGCTGCTGCTGTTGTTGTTTTTGTTGCTACTGCTTCTGATGTGTCGGCTGCTGCTGCTGCTGTGTCGGCTGCTGCTGCTGCTGCGGCTGCTGTGTCGGCTGCTGCCGCTGCTGCTGCTGCTATGTCTGCTGCTGCTGTGTCTGCTGCTGCTGTGTCTGCTGCTGCTCTTGATGATGCTGCTGCTGCTGCGGGTTCTCGTTGTAAAGGAGCTTTTTGGGCCTCTTTGGATTTAATTCATTCAAATGGCCGCCAGCGGCAGCGCAACTACGGCGGCAGACCCCCGAATCAGCGTTTAGGGTTTAGGGTTTAGGGTTTAGGGTTTGTGCGTGCGCAGGCCGCTGGGAGTTGTTGCTGCTGGGGTTTACGAAGCAGCTTTTTGGCAGCGGCCGGCGCTGAGCCTCAGCTGTCTCTTTTGTTTTCTTTTTCTTTGGAGACACCCGTGTTATCTTCCTGCTGCTCTTTTCTTTTCCCTCGTGCGCCAAACCCTAAACCCTAAACCCTAAACCCTAAACCCTAAGCACTGGGGCCTTGCCGTGGAAGGCGAGGCCTTGAAGCGGTGCCTGGGCCCTAGGGCTTGGATCCGTGACTCTTATCAAACCCTAAACCCTAAACCCTAAACCCTAAGGTCTTGCCTTTAAACCCTAGATCCTTGACTCTAAACCCTAGACACTAGACGCTGGACCCTAGACCCTAAGCTGTAAACCCTTGGCTCTAAACCCTAAACCCTAAACCCGTGGACCCTAGAACCTAGACGCTAAACTTTAAACCCTAAACCCTTGCCCTTGAACCCTAGACCGTAGATGCCAAACCCTAGACTTTAGACGCTAAACCCTAAACCCTAGAGGCTAAGCCCTCGACCCTAAACCCCAGAGCAAAGACGTTAAACCCCAGACCCTAAACCCTAGACCCTAGACGCTAAACCCTAAACCCTAGAGCCTAAACGCTAAACCCTAAACCCTGCGTGCAGCGCAAGACCTGAGGAGATAGTTTATTTTTATTTGCTTGTTTTTTCTTTTTTTATTTTTGCTGCTGCGCATGCATCCCCTAAAAGCCCCAAAAAATAATTTTAAGTAGACAGCGGCCTTCCGTCTCCTCAGAGAGGCCCTAGGGTTTAGGGTTTAGGGTTTAGGGTTTGGGGTTTGCTGCTGGGTGCGCAGGGGCTGCTGCTGCTGATTGTCTCCTTCATCCAAGTTCCCCCGCCGCCAGAAGAGTCTCCAAAAGACAGCCACGGCGAAGGCCGAGCAGCAGCAGCAGCAGCAGCAGCAGCAGCAGCAGCTTCTGCTGCTGCAG